CTGTTATGCCCTCTTTTTTCTCAATCTCCACTCCATTATTTACTCTTTTATTTTTATCCATTTAATTAAAGGGAAAATATAGCAGGATATAATATAGTAACCCACTTTGACTTTCTATTATCTCGATTTGAAGCCCTGTATTACTCTCACCATCTTGTTTTTGACTGAGGTTCCTTTATTCTGTTTTGCTGGATAGTATCAGGTTCGAAAGTTTAGGCATCAGCTGAGAAGATAATGAGATTCATTATAACGCCCATTCTCGTTGACTTTTATCTACTTTTGAAGACCTACAATATCTCCAATGTTTTGGTTTTGTCAGTTTTATTCTTTACGGTTTTGTTCAATTGTATAACAACTAATGATATAGGCAATTCTATTAGAAATAGCGGGAGGCATTATGGTAACCATTGTTGATCACCTTGTATTATGTTTTTATATTATCTATTATGTCCACCCTTTTGACTTGACCGATTCTGTTCTGTTATGTCACATTTGGTTTTACTCTCTTCCAAAAAAGCAATAAGAACCGTGGGAGCAATGAAACCTAAAATGTGTAATAGTCATTGTACAAAAGAGAGAAAAAGAAAGTGCTCTAAACTATATAACTGCATGTATATTTAAATGTATAAGATAGAAAATGATATCGCAGAGTTTTATTGGATCATTGAACAGAACTGTTTGCAGTATCATTGTTGGAATGTCCACTCTACAAGCTTTAATTTTGTGACTTGAACAATTATTTCTAAGATGGCAATATATAATCCATTGACTAGTGATTTCCTACTGCGCATTTTTTTCTCCTGTAAATCTGTATAACTTGTACCCCTTCACTGTTTTTTTTTTCTTTCTTTTCTTTTCTCCTTAAATAAAATTAAAAAAAAAAGAGAGAGAACAAAGACTGGTTATATAAATGTAATTTTTGTTTATTATTGACTTGAGAGTCTCTCATTGTTTAAAAATTAATGGATTAAGTGTTATGATTGGGTTTTTCATCAGTCATCAAAAAATATTTTATTAAGATGGGTAAACAAAATCCCTTGGGGTTGGGATTGTTGGACAGGACTCCAGCTGATGAATAAAAAAGCAGCTCCTGGTAACATTTTTCAACCAGTTCTTGTTTATTGATTGGAGCCTCTATATATATCTCTACAGCCTTTTGGGAGACACCCCAGCTAAAATTATAAATTATGTTATTGTAATATGTTCACTTTGGTCATCATCAAAAGAAATAATACAATAAGTGTTCTTATTTAAAGGTGCTCTCCTACAAAGGTTTCCTGTGGCTGTGACAAATGACTGTTATTAATCTCCTGGTATATTAACACATTCATGCTTCCAGATATACTGGTTTTCCAAATTGTAAAAATGGGATTAGTCACCTTAATAAATTTTGTTTCATATTCAGACTTCTGCCAGTACCAAAATCTTATGATATTCACATTCCACTAAAAGTCAGTAAGTTAGATAAAAAGCTTCTTGTGTATTAGATAGGGATGATTGACTAAAAGCGATATTTTACATCAAAATGAAAATCCAGCTGTTACAAAACTTCTGCTAAAATGTTGTACATGGTTTTGATTTGTGATTTTTTATGTAAAATAGGTGACTGTTAACACCCTATAGGTATTCAAATGTTAAAATATCCATGGATAATAAAAAATACGTTTCATTTAATGTTCTAAGGTGCTTCGTATTTAGCTAAGATAGTAATGTTAAGTTCACTGCCTCCAATATGCTGTATTTTATCGTTCTTTTCTTCTGGATGTTCAACAACTGAGGTTTAGAAACCAAACTTAGAGGGACAGATGGGCTAATAGGATAGCCAATATTTTGGCTTCAGCCCTTCAAGATCAGTGAGGACCCAGGACATAAAAGATCCTCCACTTGCACCATCCATAGATACTGAGTCCCTGGTCTTCTGATCAAGATTATGAGACCACAGAGGAAAGTGATCCTCAATGTATGGTGTTCTAGGAGAGTCACCAGGAAAACAAAAATCTCCCAGATCTTCATGAAAAGCAGCTTGGTCAAGCCATGGCCATGACTCCTCCAGGTGGCTGACACTGATGGTAGAGCCAAACGGCGCTATGCATGGTTCCAAGGAAATTGCTGAGGAAACCTAACTGACCTTCATAGATAACAAAAAAACTGATTGTATTTAATATGGGTCTCATCTTAACTTGGTCTTGAACCTCCTGCAGAAAAGTATAGCTTCAAAGGATATAATACAATGCCATAGTAAAATGTTAACTGTAAAAAAGGCTCAAATCACTCACACCTTCTGACAATTGCTGGCTACACTGGTAACTGGTTATTTTTAACTGATGGACTGTACAGGGTTTAAATTCCAAGAGTTCCTTCAAGAGCTCCAAGTGCTCCTCCAATAGTAAGCACAGCTGAATACATGCCAGGAAGCCAGCATGACTAGTTCATCCTAGAGACCGAGTGGCACACGTCTTCCTCTGGAGCCAGGAAGCAATGCTTGATGTAAGGACCAGAGCTTTCAAGAGTTCTCCTAACACAGCTTCAACTGATTTCCCATCTGTTGTAGTCAGGAGTTATGCAGAGAACAATTAGAATCAGGACATGGAGTTTATAGTATTTTTATAATGGTCACCGGGAGTTACCACAAGAAAATGCAGGAAATCTGTCCACAACACCAAAGACACAGAATATTTAGTCAAAGGCCTGAATCCCACAGCAATGACCCACATGGGTCCAGATGAAAACCCAGAGCTCGTGACAATGCCTCCCACAAGTCCAGCTGGAGGTCCTGAGCCCACAGAAGGACTCATGCCAGTCTCTTTATGGATCTATTCTGGGAAGGCCCAAAGGTCAACAGTGGAAGCCAGGAAGTCCATGCCAATGGGATGAAGGAGCTGTGCTGGTAGGATGAGGGTTCTATGCTGGAATTGAGAAATCACACTCACAACAAAGACCAGGATTGTCCTGAAAAGCACCACACCCATTCTCAGTGACACAGAGGCCCCAAGCTCCTCCAATGGTAAGCACAGTTGAATACATGCCAGGAAGCCAGCATGACAGGTTCATCCTAGAGACCAAGTGGCACACGTCTTCCTCTGGCGCCAGGAAGCAATGCTTGATGTAAGGACCAGAGCTTCTCCAAGAGAACCAGTGGCTCAAACAACAACTCAGGAGAACCCACAATGCCTCAACGCAATAATTCATTAATGTCCTCCTTCTCCTTCTCCACCTCTCTATTTATGCTGGCAACTTTCCTCAGGTGGAGCATCTAAACTCAGTGCCATGCTGATGTAATTCAGCTGGTGTTAAGGTGACCCCCAGTTCTTAGTCCATAACACCATCCTACACAACAACTAAACAAAAGGGAAGAATATGTTGGGAGCCATTGACACTGGAACTTGAACACACATGCAAGGCTGCAGCATGGCTAGGGCATGGCTGACCCAAAAACAAAGAGACACCTCAAAGGGCAAGATAAGGTCACAGCTGAGGACACCTGGCTCCCACTTCCACTGACTAAAGACTGTAGCTACAAGCATTTCACTCCACCAGTGAAATGCAACATAGAAATCTTCTAAGATACTTCTCCAAAATTAACATAAGATAGTTCTAAAATAACATAATCTGGTATTTGGAAAAGTCCTAGAACCACTGCCATGGTCTGTTCAATTTCCTGGGTTTCCCACTCTAACTCTCTTTCTTGTTGGAAAACTAAATAAATACAGGTCACCCAGAGGCAGTCCTTCCTTGTCTTAGCCACCAGAGTCTCAAACTCTGTAGAGGGTTTGGATCCTCCTGGAGCCCTAAAATCATACCACTTATCTCATTTATTTAAGCCTTGAAGGTACACTTAACTGGGAGACTGGGGATCTAGGTCAGGTCCTCAATAATACCTCTCCAGCAATGGAAGGGTCACAGAGACCTTCCAACTCTTTGTTCCCAGATATAACATCTTGGGGTCAACTTGCAGTCCCAGATATCTAGGCCAGCTGCCCTACAAGATCAAGATTCCCGGGGCGGGGGATTTAGCTCAGCGGCATAAGCACCTGCCTTGCAAGCAGGCAGTTGTGAGTTCGATCCCCGGTACCAATAAAAAGGAAAAAGACAAAAAAATAAAAAAAATTTTTAAAAAATTAAAAAAAGATTCCCGCCATAAATCCTAACGACCACTCACATATGGCCCTTACTACATTTAGATTTCGAGAACTGTACTTTGGTATAGACAGCAAGTTTCTGTGCCTCAATATTCAGAAACCTTGAAAATCATATTTGGGGGTCTCTGAGAGAATCAGGAACAGATTCCTGAGGTCTCAAGCCCATAGGCTTGAGATTTTTTTTTTTTTTTTTTTTTTTTGAGACAGGATTTCACTGTGCAGTTCAGGCTGGCCTTGAACTCACATTGTAGCCTAAGCTAGCCTCAAACTTGCAGCAATTACCCTGTCTCAGCCTCCTGAGTGCTGGGTTACAGGTGTGCACCACCATGCCCTACTCAGCTCCCAATATATTATCTTGACTCTGGTAAAGTCAAAGCAGCTCTCTGGAGCCCCAGCTTCTTCTGGATGTCAGAATCAGTCTGGACAGGTTGGACAGGAAGGAATTTACCTTTCTGCCACGGCTATCAGGAAACCTAAAACTAAATCTCGAAGCTAGAGAAGTCGTTGTGGGTAACGAGATACGAGCCAGGTCCTTTCGCTACGACGAGCAATGCAGGATATTTATCCAGGGTCAGACACTTCTGATCAGTTGACAGGAATTACTTCATTTAAAGCTCACCACAGCCAGGGGAGCAGGAGAGGTGGTCGGTCCTATTTTACAGCGGGGAGAGCCCAGGGTGAGTGAGATCACACATCTGGTGGTTTAGGGCGCTGAGGGGGTGGATGCCAGAGACCAGCCCACCCCGTGTCTCAGCCCCCACCCAGCCCCTGAGGAAATCACAGAGGCGCCTATGGGGAAGCTTGTATGGGTGGCGTTATCTTGGTATGACACAGAGGACCCTGAACACCAATTGGGGCTCAGGTACCACAAGACCATGGCTGCCTCCTGAGATTTGGATGGGAGCTTGCTTCTGTCCCAGGTCTGGACGGGGCTGCTGGCCCGCCACGGGGACTCCCGCTCCCCAGGCAGGGGCACAGGTGTCAGGTCGGTTAGTTCCTCCTTATGGTTTCCCTGATCCACTGCAAGTAGCGGCATACCTTGGTATAGACACCAGCCTTAGCGGTAGTGTCACAGGGGACGTCGCCCCAGGACACGATGCCCTGCAGGGCACCCCCACAGATCAGGGGTCCCCCGGAGTCACCCTGTGAGGAGGAAAGGGGTTTCCAGTGAGGGGCAGCTTCCTGAAGTCGACAGTGCCCCCTTCCTCACCCTCATCATCATTTGCAATGTGGATCAAAACCCAGCCCAACCCCAACCCAGTTTAACCCTAGCCAATCCAGCCCAGGTCTGAGCCAGCACAACCCAGCGGGAGCCACCGGAGCGTGTCCAGCCTTACCCTCCCGCATCCCTGCCCGCTTCAACTAAGCCAATTCTGGGGCAGCCCAGCCCAGCCTTTGCTCCACCATTCGGACTCCAGCGCTACCAGTACTGCCCAGCCACATCTTCGCATCTTCTGCAAATCCACACGTCCTATTGCCTGTTTCCCATCAGAATTCAGCTCATTCCCATCCCCAGCCCTGGTCTATCCCGTCCCCAGCCGGCTTCACCTCCATGTCCACCTCTGACCCTTACCCCAACCACTGTCCCAAGCGACCTACTCATTCCGTCCACACCTCACGCTAGCCCCTCCTCTGGCTCCAAACAAAGGAAACCCAAGCCCACCCCCCTCCCGGACCCGACCCTGTCCACCTTCTTCCCCCGAAGGCCCCTGAGGATGCTGACCTCGCAGGAGTCCGTGCCTCCGCCCTCCGCAGTGCATACACCCGTCGTGACAGTGGCTGCGCGCCGCCTAGCGCGAGGGCGGGATGGCGCAGGAGACCAGGTTGTGCTCCACCAGGTGCGTTCTCATGAAGCTGTAGGTACCCATGAGCTGGGCAGTAAGGAGCGGACAGAAGGACCCAAGTGGGCAACTCGGGGCCCTCAGCCCTTTGGGTACCTCGAGATCCTGTGAATTTCCCCAGAAATCCTGAGCCCAGTGGTTCCGGACATTACTATGCAACCTCCAAGCTTGGACGGTTTCCTCCTCCTAACCTAGACTTCTCAGATTCCTAGAGTTTTGCCCCATTATCTTGTATCATATCTGTATTAAACTGGCTAATGCAACTAATACATCCAATCCTCTGTTCATGTGGCATAGGGCGCACAGCTGTCAGATGTCCGTTTTGTTCCATGTCAGGTGCCTGCATTGAGCTTCCCAGACGGCAGCGACCACCTGTCCCCCTCCACCCCCCAGGTGGACCCGCGCTGCCCCACCCTGCACCACACTCCCACTGCACCACCAGTTCCTTCCCAGTGTCCTTGTGCCCCTGCTTTAGAACATGTCTCTCTTCACTGTGTCACATCCACCAGAAAGACAGACTGTCAGGACCAAAAGCCACCGTTATCCAACTGTGTCTGCCCACCCTTCCTGTGCCTGCCGTAACCCATACGCATGCAGTGTCCAAGTCAGGAGGGCTGGGAGCTCGAGTCTTAGCCAGCTGGGCACTGCCTTCTGGTCCCCTACCCCATCTGGAAAGAGGACAGCAGAACTGTCTAGTATTCCATTATTCAGTGGTGTTGGCTGGTGGGGGAGGGCACTCGAGTTGGCTGCTGTAGTGTCCTTGATCCACTTAACATAGAAGGATATCAGAAAATCTGTGGTGGTCACAAGGGATTTGGCCCAATACTATTATTACTTGGAGGACATCACTGCTGACAATGCATTTCCAGAGTCACCCTGAGGACCAGAGAGAGACACAGAGAGTCACAGGAGAAATTGGCAGCAGTGCCTGATAGAGCACAGAAACCTAGCTCTGAAACTACAGACTCAAGTGCTAGCAGGCAGGGCAGGGCACACAAGGGTGGCTGCCATGGTGTCCTGGACCCACTTCTGGTAAGACACCAGCTTGGTATATAGGGCAGGCTGCCCACAGGAGTCACTGTCCCAGGAAGTGAGACCCTGAAGCACGCCATCACAGATGAGTGGGCTCCCATGACACAGATCGAGAAGCGTCAGCCCAAATGTCTGCCTGGGGGACCCCCGTCTCTCAGACCCAGGCTGGATGATCCCCAGCAGTGGGGAAAACAGAAATGTCTCCAGAGCCCACACCTGGAAGGCAGGCAGGGATCCCTACAGAGGACACCGGTTGGTGTCCTGGCCACAGGGAAGGTAGGGCAGAGCCCAGCTCCTGCACAGAGCCAGGGGCACAGGCCTCACACGGGGCGGTAGCAGGAGCAGCTGTAGGGCCCTCACCCATTGGGTCAGCCCATCACAGGCCCTCCTGGCCCCAGCACCGGGCAGTCCGATCCCAAGACGGGCACTAGAGGGCGGCCGTGAGCTCGGAGTTCTGCCCAGCACCAGCCACAGCTCCCAGCTCAGCAGAGGAAAGGCAGGGAGCCCCGGGAACCCAGCTGAGGCCCTGCAGGACGGAACCCTCGACCCAGGCCTCTCACTGGCCCCCACCTCCAGCCACGCGGCCTCTCCGCCCTCACAGCCCTCTGCTCTCCCCAGGTGCCACACGGTCACCTCCCGCTGCATCCGCCAGTGTTGCCTCATTTCGCGGCATGCGAGGTCCTCCCCACCCTCATCTCCCTCCCGCCCTTCGCCCAGCACGGAGGCGCCACCTTCTGACCTCCCATCACTTCTGTGTTCCTCTCCAGTTTGCGCCCCTCTCCTAGCACGGGGCTGCTCCGTGCTCAGCACCGTCCTCCCGGGCTCCAGGGCGGTGCTGGGCACCAGGTGGACTCTCCATGAGTGTGTGGTGTGAGCAGCGGGGAGCTGGGGTGAGGAGCAAGGAGCATGCGGGTACCCGGAGGGTGCCATGAAAGGCAATAAGGTATGGGAGATCCCAAGGGAAACGTGAGGAGCGCAGACAAGCCCAGCCAGGAACCCTGTGTCCAGCCTTGCGGCCTTCAGTAGCAAACGGTGACTCACCACACAGTGAAGTCTGCCACTTCTGGGTACCCCCAGTGCTCAGCATGGGGTCCTCAACCTGCTGGAGGAGGGCTTTTTCACAGAGCTCCCAGGAAGGGTCCTGGAGTCCTACACTGGAGGTCATAGGGGAACACATCTGCAGGCCCAGGAGGAAAAGCTCTGTGTCCAAGCCCCGCGGGTGCCCACCCTTCCACCCTCGGACCCAAGAGTCAGCCCCAAACCACATCGACTGGCCCTTAAGGTACATTTATTTAAGGTACACTGCTCCAGTCTGAGACGAAGCCCCTCTCTCCCTGTGAGTGCCTGCTGCACAGAGCCCGTGATCCCGGCGGGCTCCCTGAGGTGCACCAGCATCTGGTCTCGGCTGTGGTCATCATTTGGGGAGCTGTGGTGAGGCCCCAGGAGGCTCATGTTGACCTGTGGGTGAGGAAAGCTCTTCTTGACATGGACAAGATGACCTGTGCCTTCCTCATCAAGCAGGCTGTGGTGCCCCCAGCCAGACATGGTACTTTCCGGGGAAGGAGGAGGGATGAGGAGAGAGGAAGGGTGCAGGGAGGTGGGTTGAAAGGCATGGACAGAAAAGAGAGAAACAGTGAGAACACAGGAGGAGGAGAGGAAGATGCAGCCTCAGGGAAAGACAGCGAGGGGCAGGATACAGTGGGGTGAGGCGGGAAGGCAGGAGCACAACAGAGGGAAGAAAGAGGGCACCAGGATGCAGGGAGGAGGAGGAGGAGGAGGGGAGGACGGAAAAGCACCTGGGATGCAGGTGAGAGCAGAAGAGCCAGAGAGCTGGGCCCAGACAGCACAGAGCAAGGGGGTGGCCAGAGCAGAGCGGGCAGGACCCAGACACAGCAGCCAGGTGGCTGCGGGTAGACAGAGGGCAGTGCAGGCAGAGAGGAACCTGCAGGACGGCCCAGAGGAGTAGGGAGAGGGGATGGGGAGGGCCCAGGAGCAGCTGGGCTGCAGCTGGGCAGAGCTAAGGGCTCCTAGTAGGCGGCCTTGACCCCAGCCCAAGGCCAGCACCACTGCCCACCACCCTTCCTGCCCTCCTCCCTGGGGCCCAGCTCAGGCAGCCCTTTCCTGAGCCTCCCATCCTGGACCACAGCTCCACATGGAGGGCAGGATCAGGAGCGCCCCACACAGGCTGGGGTGCACCCATTCCTCTGCTCTGGGGTCCCCCCGGGGCCCATGGGGTATGGTGAGCAGTGATGGGGAGAGGATTGAGATGGGGAGAAAGACACAGAGACTTGGGTGGGGGACACAGCATGAGGGAGATGCCACAGAGACACCCAGACATGGACAGCGATGAGGAGAGGCAGAGGCACGGGGTGGGAGGAGAGAGGGAGACAGAGACACGGAGAGCAAGACCCAGGTACCCCGGGCCCCGGTGGTCCGGCCCCAGAGCCTCTCCCCTGGCCTCCTGCAGGCTGTGAATCAATCACCCTGGACACTCTCCAGGCACAGGGCCTGTGCAGCTGCTGAAACCAGATGGTGAGGAGAGGCCTGGGGAACACAGCAGAGGCTCCGAGGACTCACTGAACGCCAGTGTTACCACACGGTGCATCTTGTGCCCCAAACGCCCAGAGCAGCCTTAAATGCTTGTACTGAGTTTCTGAGGCACCCCAATTTCTTCACCTTTCAGGAAGAAAATGCAAATCTCTCGTGTCCCTTGCACCCCGAGATATAGGCTTTGGCTTCCCAAACTCCCTGGACATGGTTTGTCCATACAAGATCTAAATTAAACTGTCAGATGCCTCAGAATATACTGAGGCTGCAGAATTCCACGACCCACAGCGCCAGAGCCACAACTACAAAGATTCAAGCATCTCCCCGAGTACATGCTCCAGCTTTTCAAATCAAACCTTTTCCAAAATAAGACTTGTGTTTCAGGGCTCAGACCCAGTACTCGAGGACCTAGAGAACCATCTGTACCCCTCAGCCAGATTCCTCGGGACTCCTAGACACAGAACCAGGTGCTGAAAGCAAGACACATCCTAGAGACTTGGGGATCCGGGCCAAGAGATCTTTATCCATCTCCAGACCACCCCCAAAGCTGGTCCTCCATGCTGGTTATTCATCAGGCTTCTCACCTGGGGACATGATTCATGTGTGTGGGGAGGGGATGGGCAGGCAGGGCGTGGCACTCCCGCCACACACATGTGCCCACACGCACGTGCACACACACCCACACACACAACTGTACTATGCACAAGTACCAAACAGGCTTTC